ACTTTACTCTATTGGCCTTATTGGCCATTATGCTCGCCATTTGAAATTGAATCAAATTATATTTTCTAGAGCTCTAAGAGCTCCATGCCAAAATGCCTTCCAGGGATTTTCGAGCAGGCACGAGTTAATGGACCTCGGAATGGCTTAAATGGCCAGTCCAGAGAGTTACGCCCATCCTTTACCCAAATGACTGTTAGGTTGCATTAACACTCCAGCGAATGGACCATTAAAAGGCACTTGCCAAATGCATTTTGTGGCTGATAACAGGCATTACGCATACACCAGATGGGGGCAGCTAGAGGTTTAGATTCAGCAGAGCTATAAAGAAATGGCCAATGGAATCTATGTCGCCATTTGGTTCCGCTCGTTCCGCACACTTTTTCTTTCTACCGTCTGACACTTTCTTTGGCTATTGAACTCGAAAGCATCGGTTGCAAACCAGATCGTAGCCGCAGCTCCAGCACCAGCGCAACTTCAAAAACTTCCGAGAGACATCAAGAAAGGCAACTCCAGCAGAGGCAACAACAATTTGGGTTAGAGAAATTCGCGCCCCACCACGACACACTTTAAAGTCGGAGTTCTTGCCACAAGTTCCATGGGTTCTAGACCACGATTTAACCTTGGCTGGCTGGCTACTTGGGCGTAATGCGAGACAAGTGTCGTCGCTTAGTCGTAATGTGCTTAGTTGCGCTTACTTTCTTTGCCGGAGAGCTGGGTCCATGGGGACACAGAAAGAGTCACAATGCTAATGCCGCACATAAACCGATTTACTCAATTAAACTTTAAAATCGCACACAAAAAAAAAGAGAACTAAAAACTGACTTGCGGGAATGATGTTCGCTTTGGTTTGGTTTCGTTCAAGTGTCTTTGAGTTGTGAGCAGAAAATGGACAAGGTGAAAATGGGCGAAAACCAAAAATAAAATCAAAATTTAATTTGTTAAGATTGCTTGTGTCGATCTCTTGAACATGCATCTTCGGTTATCTCAAGTTAGCCAGATAATATATCAAAACGGCTAATGGATATTGATATATATATATTTAGCAGAGGAAAACACAAAAGCCATTAGCTTGCTATACATGTGTCATTTGTCTAATTTTAAAAACAAACTAATAGCCAAAGTAAACTAACTATGGGGGGTCTGTCTTAAGTTATGATCTAAGCCATTGTTAAACAGGTGCTTTGATTTGGTTTCTGTAAGAAATTAAAGCTCATAAATCTCTATATCCTCTTTATAAGTCAAACTAAACTTACCAATTAGAAAAAGTTCATCTCTCAGAAAGGTCTGACATAATTTCAGCATATTTAAAGCCATGAAACCCTGATATTGGCCATCGACAGGGCCTGTTTTTTGTGTGTTATAGGTTCAGACATGGTCGTAATCGGATTAACTGATAACCGAGTGTGACAGTCACGCCCGGAGTGGCTTGCATCTGGCAGATACCAGATACGGCGAGATGGCAGATACGAGATGCATGACCCGGCCTCGGCTCATTAGGCTTTCGCACAGCTTTTCACTCAATTAGCGCAGCATATCATTTGCATACAGTGGGTCTAATTAAATTATGCGATGTGATGGGACGCTACTGCTCCTCCTCCTCCTCCTCTTCCGCCTCCTGTCTTTCAGGTTCTGGCTTCTGGTGGTCTCTTCACTTGCCTAACGGCAAAATGGGAGCCCAACAATGAGACATTAGCCTGGGCCAGCCTATCATTATGTAATTTGTCCGGTTCTTGGTTCTCGGCTCCTTTCTTTTTCAGATCTTATGATGTTATGTTAGTATCATGGTATCATGGTATTCTTGGTGTGCTGATGTCAGAGCTCAGGTGTGCCGGGCCCGCATCATAACTTAAAATAGTAGCTTCATGGCAGCCAATTAAATATTTTAAAGACTTTTTTTTTTTCTGCGCATTTCGGCAGAACGCGGAGGGAGCTGTCCTCCGCAGTTGCTTTAATCTTTCTTCTTCCAAGAGACGAAAATTAAAATAAATTAACATACAAGTTAAAGAGCAAGAGAGCCCAAGAAGCAGCCAAATAAACTTGGCTGCAGCTTCTTTTAATTGTTATGATAATTTTCTTAGCCAAAAGACTTTGGGCCAACTCAGTACAACCTGCTCATATATCACAAATTCACAAATCACAGAGTCACAAAGAAAGCGTCTGAACAAAAGACATGAATATTGAAAGTGACTATGGAAAGTCACGGATCTGCTACAGTTCATCAAACCCGCAGGTGGAAGGGAAGTTAAGCATACGCAGCGTGTGCCAGCGATAAGTTCGTAAAAACTTCTCCCAAGGAAACAACCAACTGTCGAACTATGCGATTTGCTCCCCTGTGACTGATGGAGTTCTAACAAAGTTTCTGCCTATCTATCTTTCTATCTCTATTCTCCTATAGGCAACGGAAGTTCGCCACATTGAGGAGACTTCACTTTTTCTTGAATCCACAACCGCAACGGTTGAAACCACATGGCTTAAAGTGCCCTAAGTCGAGGCATTTATGTCATTATTGGCACTGCCTGACTTCGACTCCATGAGAGACATTTTGAGGCATTTTTAATTAAAATGCTGCAACGGCAGATGTGGCATGGAATGTGAAAAAATGCTGAAACCACAGAAAGCAAATCGGAATGGGGCAGCCGCAGCAACTACGACTACAACTAGACTACGTTTCCGATACATGTTTCCTGTTGGCTCATCAATAAATCTGTATTCCTGCTGGCGCCGCTGCAGACAAAACCCCAATGTCAAAATTTGCCCTTCCGCCTAGCAGCTCGCAGCCCGCTTTCCCCGCTCCAAACGGATCAGAATTTTATTTATTTTATTTCCGACCACCAGGAACAGGGACACTTTTACATGGACATCCCCGAATAAAAAACTGGGAGCCACAACCAAACACCTGCTGCTGATGCTGTTGCTGTTGCTGTTACTGTGTTACTGCGGAGTCCAGTCATGGTCAGGGCCCTTTAAATGTCAGACTCTGGCCAGCTGCCAATGAAATCTCTGGCAAACCAAATAACACTCAAAGTCATTTCAGGTTGAAAATGTTTGCCAGCCAGTTGGTCGAAGGGGAAAAGCTAAAAAAAAAAAGAAAGGGAATGGGTTCGATGGTCACATATTGCGGCAGCGTTTTATTTGCATTTTTTATTGGGCCCCCGGCCAAAGGAAGCGGGAACCAGGACCAGGTCTAGGACCACGACCAGGACCTGGACCAAGAACCCATCCTCACCTCCTGCACTGGTAACCACTATAAATATATCGTTTTTGGCTTTCATTTCATGGGGCCGACCGTTTTCATGCGAGGTCTCGTCGGGCTCGTTGTTCAGAGCCATAGTTTGTATTATTTATGGCTAACTAAAAGCTTTTACATTCGGGCAATTTTAGTTTTTACGAGTTTGACAAATGTCGACGACGCTTGCCTGCTGGCCATTTAAAGCTCCGCGCCAGTTGGTGTGGGCATAAATTCTAATTAGAGCCGTTCTCTCTCTGGAAATTTTCGGCCCCGAGCACAGGCTTTTCATAAATTACGCTTAGAAAACAAGCGGGAAACTATTTGCAAAGTTTTTAAATTAGTGATAATTTACATAGAAGAAAGCTTAAGAAGAAATTCTCTGAAAAGTAAGATGAATAAAAATGTTCTAGAAAAAGAAAAGGCTTAAGAATTATTCTAGAAATTTTTAACTCAATTTTTTGCCAAACTTCCTGTAGAACTTAAAAAGGGAAATCCTGGAAAAACTGTTTTTTAAATATTAATTCCTTGGAGAACTCATTTTTGCCTGTGCATGCGGAAACTATTTGCACAATGGCCATGGCCAAGAGACCAAAAGGCCAAAAGGCAGTCTGGGCCTCGGCGCGTGGCAGTTACGTTAGCGGTGCAGTGGTGCAGTGGTGCGGTGGAGCAGTGGTGCAGCAGCTAGCAGCCAGCAGCCAGCAGCCAGTTGTGGATGAATGAGCCAGCCACCGACTGAATGGCTGCAATTTGCACCAGCAGCCGTCGAGCCGAACGGAACCTCTTTTTTTTTTTGTATTTTATTTTTATGAATGAATAACTTTGAGGCCGTTTTAACGCCTGGTTGGCTTTCGCTTTAATTTGGTTGTAAGCAAATTAATTTTTATTAATTGGCAGCCGTAAAGATTAAAGCGGCTTATGCAGGCGCTCAACAGTCAACCCCCCTTGGTCATTGCAACGTTCTGTTAAATGGCCATAATGGGAGGTCTGGTTTTTGCCCTAGAAAGAGTTGACACCCCAGTCGTTCGGGGGTATTCGCAATCGAATGGGGAAAATGTCGCGGAAATGAATAATTACTAAATCGGGCTTTAAGCAATTGCACAACCACGTCACACATGTGCATCAACACCGGTTTAAATAACCCGCAGATGAATTATCATTATTGGCAATAGAAGTTGGCGCTGAGTTGTTTCTAATTTGCTGAAGCTAGTCATGTTGGCTAGTGATTAATAATGAGTAGAGGATCTTGAATTTATAGCTTTGAAATGTTTAAGAAATAAATATGAAAAGTCTTTGACTTAAATACAGAATTTGTTAATGATTTCCTTTAACTTGAGGGAATTTATTTTTAAAAGAAAAATTACAACTTTTGGGGAATAAAATAAATTTAAAAGATTTTGAGTATAAAATTCATGAATTTTGTTTAGTTTTTTCAAAATTAGTTTAATAGAATGTGAATTAAAATAACTCTTTACAAGTTTAAAATAAAAAAGATTTATTTTGCAAATAAATTGCACTAAAAAGACAAATTTTGATTTCTTAATTATAGCCAATCTATAGCCAATTTTAATCAAGTAACTTTTTATTACAAATTATTTTGCAAATTCAGGACTCTTTTGAGTTTTAAAAAATAGAACTTAAAGAGCTCATTAAAATTTTCATTCAGCACTTTTCACACATTTGATTTCCCTTAGTAAATCTTCTTCTAACTCACAATCTCTAACCACAAACAATGTCCTGCCCAAAAAGGACACTCGCTACTTTCGAAACTCACCTTTCTCACTCGAGCAACCAAACGATTTATGTTTGTCGTTTAGAATTCTCCGAATTCTTTGGGATCACTTAGCCACTTTCTTTCTCGATTTGTATCTTTGATTTGTATCTCACAGAGTTATAGGATCCTTTAAATCGCTTTTACACGTAGCTCAACATTTCGCGCACTTTATGGGTTTGTTCAACTCGATAAATATCTTCACTTGTCAGTTTGTTTTATCTTTTTTTCTATAAATTTTTTTGTATATTTTTTTTTATTTCGTTTGTCAGGGCAAAGGTAATCCACTGGAGGTAAAAGGCAAAAGAATGGTTTTTGGCCAACTGAGATGGTTCTGTTGGCGGTTCGTTTCGGCTGCTTGGGGCACCACCAAGATACAACCGCTTCATAAAATTCAAAGAGACTCGGACCCAATAGCTTCTCGCTGCTTATTTATATAGCCTACGTAGCGCGGCGGTTTTTTTTCTTTTCTGTTTTTTTTCTTTCTTTTTTTTTTTTTGAAAATCAAAGGTATGAGCCAGCGACAGCGACGCTGGCTGTGACGCAGGCCGAAAGCAGCAAAAGCAGTAGCAACAACTTGCAGCGGAGAGAGAGCGACGTCGTCGAAAGAGAGCGTTTTAAGAACCCAAACTACAAACACACTCAAATGCTGGGTGAGCAAAGCAAAAGCAAAGGCAAAAGCAAACTGCTCATCAATTGGATCTCACTACGCTGCGGTCGACGTCGGCGTTGGCGTTGGCGTTGGCGTTGACGGCACTGCAGCAGCGGAGTTGCTGCCAACTTGAAGCCGGCTTCAGCGACGCAAACAGCGACGTCGACTGCTCAGCGAGCATGTAACTTTGGCCAAAACCAAAAGCAAAAGCAAGACTCTCGGCTCACACGCTCTTCAACTCGGCAAGTTCTTGGTCTTCGTTGGCAACTTCGTGGTCTTGGTCATGGCCAAAAGTGGAAGAAGAAGAATTGGCCAAGTCGATGATGGCGAAGACGCTGATAATGATGATGATGATGATGATGATGATGATAAAGATGATGACGATGATGCTGTAGTGGATGCTGCTCGTAGTGCTCGTACTGCTCTTGCTGCTGCTTCAGTCAGTCAGTTGGCCATCAAGCGGCTCTTTGCGGTTTGGGCCAAAAGACAAAAAGAAAGAAAAAAAAACAAAAAGAACAAAAGAGAAAAAAGAAAAGCGTCTGAAGGAACCCAGTCAAAATGCAGAGTACTGCCATTTGGAGTACAGGTGTCGACTTCTAATTAAACAAGGCGCTTCACGCACACACAAACACACACACATGACAAATATGGCTGGGGGATTTTGGATTTTTGGCTTGGCCAACTGGTTAACCGGTTCTTGGCCAACTACAGATTCCCTAAGCAAAAGTGCGTGACTCCCGTAGTCTCTGAGTATTGACCTTTCCTATAATTAAAGCCAGTTAATTGTTCCTCTTCGCTTTTGCCTTGCGAAATTCCTTTGTTCGGTTCAATTAATTATTTAATTACTCGACGCCAAGTTGGCAATTTCGCACTTGGCTTTGTCTAACCGTTTCTTATTTTTGTTGTTGTTGTTTTTTTTTTTTGGCCAATAAAAGAAATAGCAAATAGAAGTTGCAAGTCGCGCGCGCGCTCTTCTCACTCACTCACTCACTCAGTCACTTAACCACTTTACTTTACAACCGAGATGAGATGGCCAAAAGCGAGTGCTACCAACCGTTTGAACATCTAAAGATTCTTAGTATCCGGAGCCGGCACGTCCATTACACGACGCGCACGTTTCGCTAATGAACTGAACATTTCCGCTTTGCCGGCATCCTTTGGCCACTTTGTCTGAGCTCAGCTTCTTTGGTCCTTACGCTGCTTGCTGGTCCACAATGGTCCGAAAGTGGCCTTTTTTGGGCCACTGCGCCGGCGCGTGTCGAACATTTGAGCGTGGAATTTGTCGCATTGCCAGCATGGAACACCAATCACCGCAACAACAAAAACAACCAAGGGCAGCATCTGAAACTGCCATAAAGAAAAGCCGGGAATAAAAACCACCCGCTCCCAGCAGTCGAAACGCTGTCCAATACCAATAGAATTCTCGCAGCACTCGAAAGAAATGCGTTTTCAGGGGTTTAATAAAAGGTTTATATAAATCGGGGAATATATAATATATTAAATAATATTATTGCTGTCTTTTAGTTAGAGTTTCTTAGTTAGAAGAATGTTAGTAAGTCGAAGGTTAACTAACTTCTTTGGGAGTAAAATATTTATATTTCTTGTAGTAAGTTTAAGGATTATAGCTTTAAGTTTGATCATTGGTAATGTTTTACAATCAAAAGACGTTTGTTATATGATTTTTTATAGAATTTTATTTATGGCTTATGTCTATGAACTAATCTCTATGTCTTTTATTGGACTAATCTAGCTTATACCTTATACCTAAAACTTTATGCCATCCAAAAAACATTGCTTTTTATGGAGTAGAGAGTTTAAGCAGAATCTATGATTTTTATTTCCTTAGTGATTTTTAAGACTGGGAAAAATTGGAAGGTCATCTGACAATACTTTCTTATTAAACATAAATAATAAAATATTAACAATAAATTATAAAAAAATATATTATGATTATATTATGATAGAATTCCAGATAAGGTGGCTTTTAGTTTCCGAATATTTATCTAAAAATCCAGTTTTCCTTTTCTTTATATTTTTCCAAAGACCAAGTTTTTCCCCTCAGTGCACACAAGCCAATCCCGACTACGTGTTGCCAACTTTTGTCGATTGTCGCCTGATGTTGTTGTTGTTCCTGAAGCTGCTGTTGCTGCCTGGATTTTTGTTGTTGTATGTTGTGTGTGCTGTATGTTGCATGGTGTGAGTGTATGTGTGTGTGTATGTTTGCTCTGCTTGTGACTCCAAAGCTAGCTGGGATGCTGCCGCTGTTTCTGATGTTCCTGCCGCGTCTCGTTGTCGTGAAATATTTTTGGCATTTTCGCTTTATACGTGCAAATTTAATGGCAATTGGTGCGAAATGCCGGACATGCAAAGCGCTTTCGGGTGGCGAGAGAGATGAAGGAGAGCCTTGACTGGAATGACAGGCGGCGTCTGGGTAGGATGGGCAGCTATGAGGGGGGGCAATAGTCACATTGTGGGTGGCATTGCCAGAATTGTACAGGGTGCAAAGGCCAAACAAAAACTTGGTTTATTGTTCGATTTCTTTGTGTGCTCATTTCTCATCGAAATTCATCGAAAGAGCTGAAAATCTGCGAACCCAGATTGGGTTTTTTTTTCGTGTTTTTTTTTTGCATTTTGTCTGGCTGTGAATCATGATACGTATATAGAATACCTGTCGGCGAACGAGTGTCATTAAAATCATTAACCATTAAGGCTAAATGTTGTATTGGAAGAAGATTTAAATCCTCTTGCGATGAAATCACTCTTTTTTGGGGTTTCCTCGCTGGCCAGCTGCTAACCGCACCCTGTTCTTGAGTTATACTTTTTTTATAGTGGTCCATGGAACACTATCCCAACCGCAGATGCAACCCTCGCGCTAAGTGCCATCCATCAGAGGACCACTAGCGGTAGCAAAAGCAGACCAAAAAACCAGGACAACCAGTGCAAACGCTTGAGTAAATAAATAGCCGGCGACAGTTTTCGCCGGATCGGGGCTAGTGGAAGTGGAAGTGACTCGTCCGGGGCAAATGCCAAGCGACAATGTCGACTGATTTCCATTGTGTGATGTGACAGGTGTCACGGCGCGTGGACAGGTGGGTGGACAGGAGGCTACGAGGCCAGGAAGGTAAAAAAGGCGGGAAAACACAAAAAACCAAAAAAAAAAAAAAAAGGATCTGACCAGGGCCAAGACCAGTCGTTGTTGAGTTGAGAGCCGAATGTCGCGAGTCAAGAGGCTTCATGACCAATTAGCCTTGTTAGCGGGATGAGCTGCGGGCATTGGGCCATGCCATGCCATGCGATGCGGTACTAACGGTATCTGTATATATATATATCTGGCCAACACACTTGGCCTGTGAAGAATTCCAGAATTCCGCAGGACTGACACTCCACGCACGCCTGAGTTCAATTGATTTAACATGAAAGTGTAGCTCGGTAAATTGATTTCCAGAAAATGTTTAACTTTGCCATGGCCAATTTCTGGACTTTGTTGTCTTCCCAGCTATTGAAGTTTTACTGTGTTGCCAAGTGACCGGAGATGGGGGCTTCAGAGATGGTGTTGCCAGCCAACGTTTAGCTAAGTGGCTTACTGAAAATAACTAACAAGATGAAAAGCTACAATTTAAAGTAGACAGGCAGAAAGCTCTTGAAACAGAAACAAGACTTCAATTAGCCATTGGGAAAGATTTTTATAATAAATTATATAAAATTTAAAAAGTTCTTCATTAATTTAACATAAATTGATGTCTTAAAACTCTAGCAATATCTATTTGGTTCTAGAGTTTTCCGGTTCTTGACCTTTCAAACATTCCCTTTCGAGTAACTAGCCAGGCTGGCAACCCTGCTGTTCTACCCAAAACGTGTGTGTAGACATCTCTATAGTCTCTATATAGTATTCATACTCCACCCCCCTCCCCGAACACTTTGTCTTCGTCTAGTTGCTGCGTATCAGTACAAGTATCTGTAGCTGACCGTAACGAATTGCGTCTGTTTCAGTTGTTGTTTTGCCAAAAAGTATAAAGTATCTACTTTTTGGCGGATATTTTGCAGCCCGACTTGTGTTTCCCTTTTGCAACCCTCAAAAATAAATGAAAACCCAAAAGCCTCGAGAATCGAGAATGGAAAACAGAAAACCAGTCGTCGCCTTCCAGCGAGGGTGATGACTGATGATGCTGGCGCGACTACGTACTGTGCGACCTCTTTGCTCCTTTTCGTCCTGCCGAAGTTGTCTGCGAATTTCTTCTTTTTTTTGTTGTCTACTTTTCGGGGCGCTTTAAAAGTTCATTTGCACCGCCGCCCATCCCGCCCCGCTTTGGCAAATTAAATAATAGGCTTACGGTGGCTTAGTGTCGCAATTGTTGCTGCCATCGCATTTAGCATGCCATAAAGGCAAACATTTTTAATAATATTTATTGCCGGGCCATTCATGTGTCTTTAATGTGCCCCAGACAAGAACGCAGCTCGTGCATAACAAGAGGCTTGTCATTCTGGTAGCCAAAGCTAGTAAGTGGCCAAGCTCCTTTGTCGTTGTCGTCGTGTTTCTCAAACCACGCTCCATCTAACTTGGCCTACGCCAGCTGCATTGCTTATGAGCCCACCATCTAGCGCCTATGCGAATTCAATCAAGTCATCAGCCGCCTGACCCTCGCCCCCGACTATGGAGTGCCCTAAAGTCCAAGTTGCAGACCAGATTAGACCATTCTAGTCCCTTAAATATCTTTGGAAAGTCGTGATAGAGATCGTTTAACTTACAGGGAGTTTATAAATATCAAATTTGCAATATCTTTGCCGTGCAAAAGTAACAAACTAAGACAATTTCCATAGTTAACCTTGTAAGCCTCTTCAGAAATCAGAAATCTTTACGCACATGCGGCTATTATCACAAAAATGTTATCAAAAACAATCTCGAAATTAGCAATTCATACAGTTTAACACTGTATTTAAATATTTTTATAGCTTTTCGCCGATTTCTCCAAAAACGAGTTCCATTTTTTGCAATTTTATTAAAAGGCCATAAAATAAACTTTGGAATTTCTAAACTAAAATTGTTACTTTTAAGGCATTGAAATACATTTACTACCAATTATTATGTACCATAATCTCTCAAGAAATCTAAAATAAAAAGCAAGCCGAAGTTTATTAGTAAAATTTTCAGACCTTCGGTTAGTTATGGAAAATCAATCGGTGTTTTCACAATGATTTCTTGTTTTGGCGCCACGTTCCTGTGTTCCCTCTTAGCCAGCTTTTGTTGTTGGCGCCTCGAATGTGCCACGAATTAGCAAAAGTGATCGGATAAGCTTAACTACAAGCAACAAACTACAAACAGCAAATTACAAATTGCAACTGCAACAGTAACAAAAGCAGTTGCAGTAGCAAAAAACTTTCAATATGCCAGTTGCATATGCAATGAGCTAAGCCAGCTACTTGGGGTTTTTTTTTTTTTTTTAATGAATGGCCTGGCCAAGTTCGAGATCAACTGCACAGGATTTCTGGCCCTGAAGTCGGCGCCAGGAAAATCCTCCTCATGCATATGCAGGGCCATATATCATTCCGCACATATGCATATGCAAATACCATTTGTCACAGAGAACTTGGTTCTGTTTCTGTTTCTGTTTCTGACCAAATTGGGATTGGGATTGGGAGTTACTGTTGCTTTCGGGCAGTTAAAATGGCACCACGCCTCGCCCGACAAATCCGAATTTTAAGTGCCCGATTTTACTGGAGTTTAACGAAATTAAACAAGACTTTTTATGGAGCATAAATCTGGAGATTGCCGCCGGCCAAACTTGGCGATGACGACAAATTTAAGTTAAACATCAGCCAGGGCATTAGTTACAGATAAAGAAAAATAAATTTATAAATAAAGAAAATTCAATTTACTAGAATTAGTTAAAAAATTTAAAGAATTTTGGAATATATCTGAAAGTTAGTTTCTTTTC